AGAACTGACTTGTTTTTAATCTGATTTCAGAGTTCAGTAATCTGTACTTCTGCAGGAAGCAGTAAAGAAGAGTGCCTTACAAAACACAGACAAACTCCAGTCTCTGTAGGTAGATAAGAGGGAATTAATTTCCAAGTTCTTTTACTAATTGTAATTTAAGTCCTGTACATTTCCCCAACAAAAAATAACTAACTTCAACCTTACAGTGGTAGGGGGAAGAAGCACAGTTCAGACTGATTTGGGGACTTGACGTGAGAATTTTCTAAAGGCTTGGTATATACCTGGAAAGTTTTGCTGGCATAGTGTATGTCAGTTAGAGAGAGGTTGGTTGGTTGGGGTGGGGGGGATTTGGTCAACATAGATATGGTAGCAAAACTTCAATGCAGATGTAGTTATACCATCAAAAAAAAAAATCCTTTTGCTGGTAACAGCTTATTTCACTTGGGGATCTGGTATAAGCTGTTCCAGCAAAAGGACTTCTTTTGCTGGTGTAATTGCATCTACATTAAGGTTTGCCAGTATAGCTTAACAGGGAGACTTTCCACAACACAAAAGTGTAGGCTGGTGCCCAATATCAAATAGTCACTTAAGGTCTCAACAACAACCTCTTCTTCACCCAGCAACTCATTTGCTTTACATAGGCAGGAGATCACTACCCGCATCATCCCCTGCCACTCCAGTTTCATTTTTGTCCTCTTGGATATTTATTACAATGCAGGCTTGTAAAAACACTAATTTTAGTAAATTTGCCAATAAATGTAATATTACGTACAATCCTTGCATTCTCTTCCAGTATGCATTGGGAAATGGGGTCATTTTAAATTTTGTATTCTCAGTTATAATACTGAAGTCAATTTTCAAAAAGTTTATAGTAGGAAGAAAGAAATGTCAAGTATTTGTTTGTATTAAAGTTTTCAGTAGGATGGGTGTTTTTTTAAAAACATACTGAATTTATATTTTGTGCTTATGTTGGCATATATAGAATTCAAGCACATTCTAATGGCGTAGGTGTTTATTTCCAGACCAAATGGCTTCCAAGATATGGTAACCTTTAAAATATCACGAATCCCTCAGTCTGCCAGTGCTTTTATATATAAGCTAATATAGTAAGGCCTTGGATCATTATATATTTTTTCTTACTATAATACTCAAGGGCCCCAAGCAGCCCACCGTGCTAGTAGCTCTACAAATACACAATGGCTTCTATCGCATTCTAAGGCCCCTATCCTTCGTCCATTTTTTTCCCCATAATGTTCAAACTGTAGCCTCTTTTTTAACACATATCATTCTTAATTTTTTAAAGTTAAGAAATTAACTTAAGAATTTAAACTTAAGTCTTTAATCCTAAACTTTTTCTACTTAAATTTGACCTCTAACTATGGTGGTTGCTCTCTTAAAAAACCTTGCATATACGTCTTTTTCATTCTCTTAACATGAGAAACAACATTTTGTCTGCAACATACACTTTACCTATTCCCTGTACACTAGCGCCTACCCAGTTTTGCCATTCCTTCATGACTATGGCTAAGATTTTGTCACAGATATTTTTAGTAAGAGTCACAGACAGGTCATGGGCAAAAAAGGAAAATTCACAGAAGCCCGTGACCTGTTCCTGACTTTTACTAAAAATATCCATCACAAAATGGGGAACTGCTAGGCAGCTGTGGGGCCTGGCTGGGAGCTCCAGGGTCCCGCTCCCCCGCGGCCCTGAGCTGCGGGGTCCCTCGCCACCAGAGGCCGGGAGCTGGGGGGGGCCTCTGGCCAGGAGCTTTGGGGTCTCCCCATGGCCACTTAGAGCCCTCCAGTGCCCAGGAGCTGCAGCAGCAGCAGCAGCTCCCCCCCCCCGCCCGCTGCCTGCGGCGTCTGGGAGCTGCGGAGTACTCCCATCACCTCAGAGCTCGGAGGCTCCACTGTCTTGGGCAGCAGTGGGACCCTGCAGCTCCCAGCCGCCTGTGGGCTGAAGTCATGGAGGTCTTTGGAAGTCATGGATTCTGTGACCTCCATGATAAAATCGTAGCCTTACTCATGACTGGAGTTTAGGGCTATAAGCGCAAGTCACTTGTGGAGCAGGAAGGGGATCTTCTACTAATATCCTCAAGTGAATGAGGAGAGCAAAGGTCAGCTGTTGCTCTACTCTGCTGTTCCTCCCAGGAGATGGGGCTTTTAAAAGTCCACAGCTGGCAGAAGGAAACTCCTGGCTAAGAGTATGGGCACGTGCCCCATTCTCTTCACCCTTCATGGCTTGTCTCTATTGGTTCCTAGTGTAAAAGGCAGGATGTCCCCACTCTACTCTAGAGGTCTTGTACTACTTCAATGGAGAAGTCTCTGGAGGGTCCTAAATCAATAACTTTCTCTCCAAAACCTTGACTGTGAAGGAGGACCTACACCAGCTCCACTGTATTCCATTACAAATAGATTGAGGGAGGACCTGAAAACAGTCTCAAAATTCTTAAGGGCTCTTACAAAGCAACAGTAATTGATTTCTCCACATCCACTGAAGGACAAGAAGTAATAGAATTAATCGGCAGCAAAGGAGACTTAGGTTAGATCAGGGGTGGGCAAACTACGGCCCGCGGGACCGTCCTGCCCGGCCCCTGAGCTCCTGGCCTGGGAGGCTAGCCCCTGGCCCCTCCCCTGCTGTCCCCACTCCCCCGCAGCCTCAGCTTGCTCGCTCTGCCGCCGGCACAATGCTCTGGGCAGTGCGGCTGTAAGCACCCAGGGCAGCACAGCGGCAGAGCCCGGCCTGACCCGGTGCTTTGTGCTGCGTGGTGCTGGCAGCAGCCGGGTTAGCACCGCCAGCCACCAGTGCTCCAGGCAGCGCAGTAAGGGGGCAGGGAGCGGGGGGTTGGATAGAGGCCAGGGGAGGTCACGGTGGTGGTCAGGGGACAGGGGGTATGGATGGGTGGTCAGGGGGGGGAAACAGG